TAGCGGTGTATGACTCATCTCAGCCTGGAAAGCTGTCCTTTGGATATCTTTGCTTATAAGCAATCAAGCTATTTAAGTTAAATTGTTTCCAAGTATTTTAAATTTTGCTGCATTGTACAAAATGAAAATTATATTTGGAGGTTTGCCTTGCAAAGGAGCTCTCTTCAAATGCCAAAGGATTCTCTTTCAAATCTGTTTCAAATCATTTAGAGGGAAAGTATGGCTTTGTTGGCATGACTTTCATTGAAGTATGACCAGTTTTAGTAGGACAATGAGTCCCTCTCCAACTTCCTACATATTCAAATATTTTTAAGAAATAAAGTGGATTGTTTTAGGTTTTGTTTTTTTTTTTATAAAGACAGGGTCTCTCTGTAGTTTGGAGACTGTTCTGGAACTCTCTCTGTAGACCAGGCTGGCCTGGAACTCACAGAGATCTGCCTGCCTCTGCCTCCGGAGTGCTGGGATTAAAGGTGAGCACCACCATTGCCCAGCTTCTTCTAGTTTTTATTTGAAGATTTTCAACTTTTTTAAAAGTCAAATTATAAAATGTTCTCTGTATAAATTCCATTACATGCTCCATTTATAGTTAATCTTTAAGTTGTGATCCAAGAGTTCTATCATTATCCGAGAATAACCCAGCTTCCTAGTTATAAAAGATTGATCATTTATCTTCAGTTAGTAAATACAGTTCATGAAATAACAAATTCATAGGAAATATAATGTTTAAAACCAGTTGAATAGATAAGAGTTTTTTGTTAGGTCATACATGTTTGCTATAATCCCTCTACCTCAATTTAGCACAAACTAGAGTCATCTGGGAAGAGGAAAGCTCAGTAGAGGAGCTGTCTCCATCAGGTTGGCTGGTGGGCATGTCTGTGGGGGTATTTTCTTGGTTAGTGATTTATATGTGATGTCCTAACCCACTGTGGCTGGCACCCAACACTGGATAGGTAGGTGGCCCCAGTTGTGTAAGAAAGCAAGCTAAACAAAGGAAAAAGAAGCAAGCAAGCTGAGCTACCATCGGCAG